GTATGGTAGATGTCATGTCGTTTGAACTGTATTGATAAATCTGGGTGACTGAGGAATGAGGAATATCCGATAAAAGAACCAATTATTGTCGTTGAATTCACGCTTTGTTAAGAGATGCGTTATGGATGCATACTCACTGCTCTTACGCATAGCAATGACTTTTTTTTAATATTTTGTTTCTTAACTTTACAGACTTTGTCTAATTACCAACCAAGGTCATAGTACAACCGTGGATACAGTTACACAGATATCCATACGGTCCAGTTTCCACTAGCAGACACGTACTCCTCGTGTGCATTCTGTTATTGTTTGCGTGAATAAGATAATAATTCTGTTATTGCTTGCGTGAATAAGATAACAATCTAGAAACGTAGGACTATACTTGATTTACTTATAATAATGAATGTTGTATTAATAATGATTTCTGTGTGTGAATAATACAAAGGTGTACGCCTACTCTTTTCCTTGTAGGCCTACAATAGAGTTTTAATGTTGCGTAGTGTAAGCCTAATACAATAGCGGAAGATTATTTGGGTTATACTGTACTTGTCTGTTGATGATACCGTTCTGTGTCTTCTTCAATGTCACATTGGAGAATAGGGCGATGTTTTTGTCCCCTATTTTTTGAAAACATTCTACCGGTATTTATGTTAAGTCGGGCGGCTGAGGATCTCATGCTAAGTGATTGGGTTCGCTTTTGAGACCTTGTCCGTCCGACAACTCAGTGGATTATTGTACGGTACGGTACCTTGTCTCCTTGACAATAAACAACGAATAAAGAACAAGGTGCTGGCGAGGTAAATAATTACACTAGGTTTTCCAATGGAAGACACATAATCTAGAACAATTTTAATAGAACAAAAACAAATCGTGCATGCCTATATAACTGGGTTATACCATAGATCTCTATGGTTATACTTATGAATTAAATTGTGTAGGATACGCCTATACGACCACTTCTGCATATTTTACGTAAATAGAGAGATCAATTTAAAAGATTGCATGCCTACATAAGTTATTGTTTAGATCATTCATTTAATATTCGGTTTGAATCTCAATAGGGGAAGCCACAAATCATTACCTTCAGTTTATGCTTACTGTATTTTATATTTAAAAAAAAACGATCATTTCTTGTTTAAAATATAAAACGGCCTACAATTATATTGGCGTTATAATAAGTAAATGCAAAATACGCCTAGATCCCATTTTAGAAACAAATAAATCATTGATGATAAATGTTTATACAGTAATATAAACCGTTGGTTTAATCGGGAAACTGTGTGTCCCAGCGAGTTATTGCAGTATTGCATGAGGTCTAGGTCTACTGTTTACATAATTTGCATTTTACTGCCTAGGCTTACGATTCAACAGCCGATGACAACACAAAACCCACGAATATTAAGACTTTGTTTATTTAGAGAGCCAATCAAAATACTAATTTTAAAGTTCTTTTATCGTCAAGTCAGTTGAAGATGATTTAGACTTCAGGGGTTAACTACTGTGGCCTACTTTTGTTTGTCCTTGAGTAGAGACAGTATATTTTTAAAGCCAGGGGCTTAGTAGACATGGCTTGTCATTTTGTAGGCCTGAAGATTTTTTTTTTTCAATTGTTGCAGCCCACAAATCATGCAACTAAACTGTTGTTACCGACTACACTTCCTTTTTTTAAAGAACCAGTAACATTTCGCCCAGACTCAGTGTGCTTTTTTTTTGTTGCAATTTCAGGCTCAATATGTTCTTATTTTACATAATTTTTTCAAAGAAAGAAAAATATTACGGCACAAGCTTACCCAATGTTTAATTTTGTCGTTTCCCTGAAGCTTAGTTTCCTAAAATTCGCTGCATTGTCCCTACAGCGTTTTAAGTTCAATCGCTGTAGGTCTACTGCGTAGCGCTTGTATGGAAGCCAAGATTAATGGTACTAAATACAGTACTGTATTTCGCATCTGGTACACTATTGGAGTAGATATAGGTAATGTTTATATAACCGTTTTAAACATTACTTTACTGTATGTGACTAGTTTGATTTGTTGGTTAATAATTTTTAAAAATAAAAACCTCATTTGATTTTAACTTAGCCTCAATTCGTTCTTATTTTTTAAGCAATTTCAACCACGGCTTTCTTATAAAAATGTGTTATAAAAAAAATAATCGCATGCAGGTATGGATTGTATTTTTACAGACATGACTTGGTAGAAAACGACCTTCAATTTCGGATAAAATGAATAATTAACAACTGAATGATTACATTGTAGCCGCTATATATAGTGTTACCTTGTGCTGTTACCTATTTATGCATTGTTGTATATTCTTTTTGAACTTGTACACAATTTAACATGTTCTGCTCTGATGGGGAACGAATATTTGTACTTTTGGTGGGAACTCCGTATACGAATGAGGGCAGCATTCGAATTTGAACCGTTCCTTTACATCTGAATATATATGCCTACAACGCTTGGAAATATGTGTACACAATCGCAGAAAAATCGTGTTACACATTTTAATAAATCGTTGATTTGATGAAGCTATTTGATATTAAGCATACTTCTGATCATGGAGCTATGAATTTGCTATTAGAAAGTAATTTAAATCAACTAAGACACCTACAAAGTATAAATTACAATCTCACAATTAGTTTTGCATGAATTTGAACATTTATTTCCTCATAACAACATCATTTTAATCTTAAATGGTGAATGTGTTGGTTAGATTGAATTCTCTCGTTTAAAACACGCAAAACAGCAGACGGCAACTAGCCATGCACAACTGAGGGCGGTATTAGAGAATTTAAATCACTCTTGATAGCATTCATAGCAGTTGATAAATCATTAATTTTATGAAAAATCTTTTATGTTCACACAAAAACATTATTAATGCAATATTAAAAACTTTGCACGAATTTCACCATTTATTTATTTAATTTAAAAGTTCACTTTAAGTTGTAGATTTATTGCATTTATTTATTGTATGCATTTATTTATTGTAGGCTTATTTATTGTTGTAATAGATTAATTCACTCTAAGCTTAAGTACGTCTTCCTCGTTAAGTATGTCTTCCACGCATAATTTTGGGGTTAAGTCAGGTCTCCCTAGTTGCTGTATGCGTACACGTAGTCAATCATTTGTGGACGCAATCCCTCGTAGACACTGCTACGTTCCCCTTCATATTGCCAAGTGACACTGTCTACCTTTTTCCCTGTGGTTCATTTTCCCCCAAATATATTGGAACATAAAATTCATTAACATAAAATCTATGGAAGAAAATGTGAGCGTTGGAGGTCTGTAAATAAAACAAAAAGTCTTACACAATATTTGTCAATTTATTCAAAAATAAAGAAAATCTCGTGATTCGACATCCAAATAAAATTCATCAACTTTATTATACATCATGCAATCAATTAAAAGAATCTATAGGAGACGACTAGTACAATGGCCATATTTTCTGTTAAGAAATGTTGTGCCGCTTTGCGACAGTGTAAGACATTACACAGGCAGTGCTTAACGCCTATACGCTCTCGTGCGGTGGTCTGCAGACCCCCGACCCCTAGGGCACCTAACCACATGGTCCTCTATCTAGCACCCTGACCAAAAAGGGCTTTGTTGATACATAACTGTATAATGCGTCTCTGACATCGACTGCATATCACATTACATACAGTGGCAAATTAAAGGGGGCCCTAAATTATTAAAGTCTGAGTGCCATTTCCGATCATTTAGAGGGTGACGTAATCATAAATTTCCTTACCTCAGTCCCAAACATGGTGGGGCTGAGATGGTATTGACCCTTTTTCAGTGAAAATCTCCCCCCTGGGCCCTGTTAAACATTACTGGATTCGCCACTCATATAATTTCATATTTATTTTGCCGGTGAAACATTTAGAATGCAAATAAAATATATAGGGTATAAATACAGTATACAAGTATATTAAAGTATTTTAATAACTGAAGAGTAGGACTATGTTGAATAATTAAATTTATATATTTTACACTTATTGTAAGTACTTTTACTTTTATTATCAGTATATAAAATGAATACATAAATAAATATATGTATGTATGTATATATATATATATATATATATATACACACACAACTATATTACAGTCATAGGGCGTATGCAATGGTATCCAGGTACCCGGGAGACACCCCTGGGAATACCAAGACGGCGATGTGGATAGTCTTGTCGTACTGGACCACCGTATTTTGTAGCTTACGGTACCAATCACCTGTCTCTTATACACATCTAGATGTGTATAAGAGACAGCTGTTATATTGTCTGACAAACCTGCAACCTCAGTCAAGGCGAGTGTCATACAGCTAGACAACAAGTGTTCTTAGCCAAGCATTTTGCCAATTAGTAATGTTTTGGTTTCTTGTGCTGAAGAAGACCCAGCTCGAATGCGATTTTAACTTGATGCTTTCAACTTAAATCTGAATGCACAACTCTTTGAAAAAATTACAATTAGACAAATAAAAAAAATACTATCAAACGGGTCTGCTTCTGTGTTTCTTTCAGTTTAGATTGCAACAGTGAACCACTTGCACCATACATACAGCATTTACGTTACCTTACCTTTACTTGGACCTAGTGGTTAAGAGACCTTGCTTATTTTCCAAGTCGATCTGCTATAATTATAGGCTAAACTGGTGGTAGCCACTGAGCCGTAGAGAACCATTCAGATTGTTGGTCCTTGTTTCAATTCTATCCTTGTGTTTCAGCTGGAGGGCTAAGATACAAGTCATGATAGCGTTGGTTACGTTTAAGCTGTTGGTCAATGTGTGCTATACGGCCATGTGCAGGTTAAATAACGCTGTTTATTCTTTGGAAAAGAATAGATTGTCTTCCAGTGTGTTTCCCCATTAACCAGCAGAATGACACGCTCGAAATAAGTCTTTGGACTTAAACTGGGTTATCTTTGATATGATTCGCACCAAAAACACATTCATACGTAATTTCAAAATTTGCACCGACGAATGAATAAAAAACAATACACTTGCACTCAAGTATTCAAAAGCTACATTTTATTAGACAACTAAATACTAGCATTAAGCAATAGCAAAAATTTGTACACCTAATTATAGTACGTTTAAACTGTGTGGCAAGCCTAAAATTAAACCTAAAATTATATACAGCATGTTCGGTTCATTGTAGATTTACTTTCTTCCAAAAACAATATCACCCCCTCCTCCCCCCATTATCATCTGATATGCTGTTTGGTCTTTGGTAGACATTGTGTACGCTCATTGTCTCCGTGACTCCTTCAAAACATTAAAAATTCATGAGAATAATTCGACTTTTTGCAAGCACTAATTATGACGTGATTATGAGAAATCTTGTTTTCTGTGCATTGTGGTACAATTAATTTTAAACATCAACTGACGCTATTTCAACGTTAAAGATAAAAAATTGGCCTATACAGGACATAAAAAACAGTGTTCAGCAATAATGAAGTAAATTTTTTACAAAGTGCATCAAATATGATGAAAAAGAAATGTTAAAACACAACCATTGTAAAGAAATTATAATTTTCAAAATCAATCATGTAAACAGTACAAAACTCATAACAAATTTGGAACATAAATTCTCACTTGTGCAAACATGTATATTGTTGTAATAATTGTAAAAAATTTATTTATTATTGTTACAAATTTACTTAACAACTGACAGAAACATGCAAGGCTATGGTACAATCATATTTCAATCATTCTTTTCTTTTTTTGCAAATCATTGAAGTTAGAAGATGAAAAAAAAAAATATCTGGATGCAGAATTTTATTGATGCATACAATGATTTCTGTATCAAAACAACAAAGAGCAAAACTCCATCATCTCTATCACGGTGTAACATCGTAACCTGATGTATTAACTTGAGGAACTATTGTGATGAATTTCACGAAAGAGTAAAAACCTTTTTAAAAATGTACAAACATTATTTTACCCATGATTCATTTTTTCCAATTAAAATACTACTGTTCTGTAGTTGTTTCTTTTTCCACTGTTGTTTTTTTCCACAAATGTTCAACGATGTCTTCTTTGAGCTGTTAATAAAACATCTGAAGCAATGGATATAAAGCAAAAAATCCTTGCATTTTAAAACCAAGTAACAGATTTTTAATTACGATAAATGGAACAACATAATTGTACTTTTATTACACAATCTGAAGTTTACAATTCATCAACAAAATATACATAACTAGAGGTTGAGATATTTTCATTGAAACAATTAAGGAAAAGATGGTACACTATGTACACACACAATTTATGATGTATTATCAAACCTTTATTATCCAATTAAATCTTAATTATTGACAAAACTTTAAAATCATGATAAAAGTTTGTTATATCAATATTGTAGAGTGTAAAACACAAAATTGTTACACTGTATTCTGTAGCTATAACATTACTATCATCGTCAGAATTAGAAATATTTTTCAATTTTATCTTCACGGCAGATATCATCAGAATCCTGGTATCAAAATAACTTTTATAAATTTTAAACGAAAATCGAATTAGATACCATAAGGGTAACAAATGTATTTTCTATCAAAATCAAACTGTGTTAGTAGATAGATACACTTGACTTTGATACAATTCGGACAGGGTAAAAAATAATTAGAGATCTTTTAAATGTCTGCATGACTTAGATTAAACATGCCTTTCACCAGGACAGCAAAAAGTATCTTCAGGCATTCAGAACAATGAAAAACCTAGCTGGACTTCTTGATCTTAACTGCAAAAGACTGACTTCAGAGCACAACTAACTTCCTGTGGTTTTCTGTACTTTAATATCTCTGGCCCATTCCATAGAACATTTGTTGCTGTTGCTGCTGCTGTTGGAAGTTGGCTTGCATCTGGGCTTGCTGGTGAGCCATTGGAAACCGCTGCACTGGTCCGTTGAACGGCTGCTGCGGCTGGAATGGCATCTGCGGCTGTTGGTTGAACTGCTGCTGCTGTTGCATAAACTGTTGCTGCTGGTGGTTTTGCTGATTCTGTTGGTATTGTTGATACTGATCCTGCATCATTAGTTGTTGACGTTGTTGATGTTGTTGTTGGAGCTGTGATTGATCAATGCTCATTTGTGAATGCTCTTGTCTAGACATCATAGATTCATTTGGCCGATTCTGGCTGTCAGCAGTGACCATCGTTGGGGTTGTCTCTGTCGCTGTGCTTCCAACAAGACTTCGCAGAACTCCAGGCTTGATCTGGATCAAGCTATTCAGTGCTTTCTGGATGTTTGGATTGTCCAGGTTTAGATTCGCAGCCGGCATATCTCCTCCAGGCGTTGGCTTAGGCTGGCTAACTATTTTAGTGTTATCAGGTGGTGCTGCTAAATTAGTTTTCAAAGGGCCGGCATTCGGTACGGCTCCTGCAGACGAAATGGTGTTTAGGATCTTTGCTTGGAGTTCTTCAGTGTTGCTGGTGACAGGTGGCATAGCTTGCGGAGCATTTGATGGCACTGAAGCATCACCTAAATATAACAGAAATTTTCATGAAAGATCACATTGATTGATAACTGAAGTATCATAGAGTATTTCACATAAATTATATTATACAATGATTGTAATTACCTGTGACACTGCCAGGTGCTACACCTTCAAGAACCATCATTTTCTGACGGATATTGGACAAATGACTAATAACTCGCGTCAATTCTGGAATAGTCAACTGTCTTCCATCGGCAAGCAGATTCAAGAGTTGAGGCATTGTAAGCTCATTTATGGCCTCAGATACTACTGCGGGGAGTTTAGCTAACTTAGGATCGGTAGAACCGAGACCTTTTTCTGCGGAGATACCCTTGCTTTTTTCTCGTAATGCTTGCATATAACTGTCAAAGTTTTTCACTATGAGTTTCATAGCATCCTCTAAAGGCATATTTCTGTGTTCTGGTTGAGGGGAAGAAAACAAATTGTTGTAATTAAAATTTCTGAAAGAGAAAATAGCAAGTGGAATATTCCGCCTCTCAGCATATTTAATTAATGATAACTGTTCAAATATCTGAATAAATCACCTTCAGAAAGAAGCATTTGACTTACCATGTACAACATTAAACATATCAAAAATCATTGAGTACAATTTCGTGATATACTTTACCACTTTTCTACCATTCAAAAATGTCATGAATGTATTTTAACATCTTTACAATAACAGCTATAAAATTTAACTTTTTGTAAAAAAAATCCTCAAGATTTTATTATTGAAAAAGTATGCATTCTATAGTAAAACTCCTTTGTATAATATTCAGTTTCACTAAGAGAAATCGAAGGCTAAGCCACAAAATTTACCTTCGATTCTAAAATGTGTTTAGGTCATTTGACTATATTGTATCCTTTTTAAATTTTTAAAAAATTCATTTATGTATGTAGCGCATTTCTTTCCAGATATGAAGTGTTTCTGTCCCAGATTGGGTCCACATGCTAAAACGTTGCTGCTGTAATCAGCACAGGAGCAGGCAACTCCACTTATATCCTGGGTAGAAAGAAGCAATGCAGATAAAGTACTTTGCTCAAGGACACAAGCGAACTGCACAGCGAAGAATGGAATCCCTGAAATCAAGGCTGGGAAACCAACAAAAAAAGTTCAGAAATGTCTTCCAGAAAATTGTTGGCCTTCCGAAAAAACAATGAGTGTTTGGCTGAATACAAAATAAGTATCGACAATCTGAAAAGCTTTGATGTTCATCTTCTAAAAGTGCAGGCCTTTAAAAATTATACTTATATCATTATCGATGAGTCGATGAGCGGTTAAGGCACGGGGCCATTACGGAAGCTACAATATCCGCGCTAGTTCGATTGGTAGGCTTGTCTACAGTTCTGGTGTATTCTCGGAAAAGGCCTATAAACCGTAGGCCCAGTGTAAATAACGGCTCATATGCACTATAAAGAACCTAGTACTGTACATCATTTAAGACGAGTAGGGATATACCCCGATGTACTGGTACAGACAGCCTCTGATGATGAGAGTTGCTGGTACCAGCTTACCAGGTAGCACATTCACGAAGGCACCCTTAGCGGTTAGGGCACGGGGCCATTACAGAAGCTACAATATCCGCGCTGGTTCGATTAGCAGGCTCGTCTACGGTTCTGGTGTAGAACAAGTATTCTCGGAAAAGGCCTATAAACCGTAGGCCCATTGTAAACAACGGCTCATATGCACTATAAAGAACCTAGTACTGTACATCATTTAAGATGAGTAGGGATATACCCCGATGTACTGGTACAGACAGCCCTTGACGGTGAGAGTTGCTGGTACCAGTTTACTAGGTAGCACATGCACGAAGGCACACTCAGGGGTTAAGAAAGTCAAGTGTACCGTACCGTATATTATTACATATAAAGCATTCGGCGTATAAGGCGACCCTGGAGTTTGAGGATGTTTGTATGTTGGGCGTATAGGACGATCCCGCTGTTTCACCCTCGAAATTCATACTTTTGGCTGCTTTTTATGGTCTTGATACTGTATCTAGCTGGCTAAAAAAGAAGTCAAATCTTCCAAATGATATTTTAACGTTGTCTATCAAAATTTTATTCCCTGCATTTAAAATTGCATTCATTCATACTAACAAATAGTAGTTTCATTTCAGTAGTGAACTCGCATGTTATGGACGATCCGCACATAAGACGAAAATGATAAAAAAAAAAAAAAAATTTGTATGTTGCGCGTAAAAAAGCCAACCCGATGTTTTTCGATAGTCATTTGCTATATTAAGACTTGTCTTTTACGCGAGAATATACGGTAGTCTACACATAAAGTGAAATGAGCATTTTGTTAGATGAATATCGACGATAATAATGTATTCACTAGCGATAACATAGTATATCTTTGAGGTAAAACTCGTAGAATAATTCGTTTAGTCATACATAGCGTCACATGAAAACTAAAAAAAATATATGTGCAGCAAAAAAAAACTTCTCCAAATCTCCTGAAGTTTTTGAATGTCTGCAGAAAAATGCATAAATGCCTTGTCCACCTACTTTCTAAGACCGAAAAATATTGCCAGCGTAAATACTCGTTTCTTCTGTAAGATTTAAATGTCTGTATATAAAATTACAGAATAGTTTTAACAACGCAAAAACGAATGGATGCCTTTTCCAGATACCAGTCGGCACTGTCAAAAATATTTGCGGCTGAACGAAAAAAATTTGTTTTGCCTAAAGATTTGAATGTCTGTGTAAAAAAATTTCAAACTCTGAAAAAGATCCATTTAACAGCGCAAAAACGCAGAAATGTTTTAACCAGCTACCTACTTTGAAAAATATTGGGAGCAGAAAAATTGCTTTTGCAGTAAGGTTCGATGTCTGTATACAAAATATTGAACAGTCTAACAAAAGGAGAGATTTTTTAAAACAGTACGAAGACGCACGAATGTCTTAACCAGTCATTGACTTGGACTGCGAATGTGAACATTGATGACTGTATCACTACTATAAAAATATGACTCAGATACAAAACTTTCTTCTTTAGAAACAAAGGTTTCAGCTAAAGTTGCAGAGAAAAGCTGCAATTTCACGGAGAAATGCTCTTACAATACTTCGCAGATTATGCATATTTGGCTCGACACATATAGCAACATTTTATTGCAAAAAACAACGAAAAGTTTGGTCTATCTAGCGCAAGTAATATACGAAAACCGAGTGTACTATATACCAGTATTCTTATGCTTTCAATATTATTAAATTATAATAATATTGAAATTATTGTTTATTACTCAAACAAAAAATAAACAAAACATTACTTAAAAAAAAAAAATCTGTTCTTAAATAAGTATATTTTACAAGATGTAAACACATTCACATGGATTAGAATAAAAAACGAGTCACACTAAATAAAATTCCATAGCTCTTACCTTGTGGAGTGCCGTGCAAGATGTTAAGTGTTACAGAGCGGTGAAGCTCGTGTTGGCTTGTTATGACGATCGCATACAGAACATCACGACGGGTCACATCTTCCAGCGCTTTCATCATCGTTAATTCAGTACTCAGGAAGATCATGCCAACATTCAAGGCTTGCTCCTTAAGCCGGCGTTCCACGATCTCAGCGTACCCTCTGAAGGTAAAGAGTGTCAATCAATCAATCAATCAATCAAGTGTAGGTGACAAGAACTAACCAATCAACTACCTCTCATGTTTACAACTTGTGTTGTGAGAGAGAATTGAATGCTTATATGCAAGTACTTATGTGGAAGCATGTGGAACAACAGTAAAGCACCAGGCTTTGAATCAAATTCATGATATTTCCATGTTGTAGCTAATTTATTCTCCCTATAGCTATTGCTAATCACCGCACACAGTCAACTACAACTATACATGTTAAGAAAGCACATATTACTAGATCTCTGGTAGTAGTTTCTTCAAACTAGGGACACCCAAACATACATATGATCGCATTAATTGAATTTACATAACAATGAACGAAAAATGGAATAAAAATATTGCATGAAAATTAATATTAACAAGATGTTAGTTATATAATGATTCACTCCAAACAAGGCCTATATGAATTCACATCTAAAATCCAATCTACCAAGCCTTAAATATTGAACAATGTGGAACATCATAGGATTTATAAATGCGGAAAGACATGATTCTAACATTTTATATTAATGGCTATCTTATGACTAGCATATTGTAGAGTAATAATTTTTTTGATTTGGCCTAATAGCATATTCTTGGAATTAATTTTGACACATATCTTACCTTTGTTGTTTATCTACCACTAAAATCTCGGCATCAATCGGTTTCTCAAACTCATCGATGGCTGCAGGTGGTGCTGGTATAGACGCCCCGGGCGGTACACGACGATCGTAATCTCTGTCATACGGGTCTCTTCTGTAATGAAGACTAAAGTGTCACGCATATCATTAGTTCTTACTTCCACATGCATTGTAAACCACGTTAGAAAAAAAAAGTGAAAACTAAAATTAAAGAAATGAAATCCTGGAATCTTCACTTCTCAGAAACAGAAGGGGTAAGAACAACAGATGGAACAGCTAATTAGAAACAATTAGCAGATTGGCAAGCAGCAGGTTCGCAAAAGAAGGTATAAGTCTTAGATTAATGTAGTAGTCAATAGTAAAAAGTAAAATGATATAATAGCATAATCACTATGAAAACATACTAAAAAATCTACCTGTAGGGGTCATCTCGTTCACGAGCGAATTCTCTGCTGTCTCTGTAGGGATCATCTCGTATGGCTGGTTCTCTGCGTTCCAATGGTGCATCATACCTATCCCTGGTTGGGGGTCTAACGTATGGGTCCAGTGGATCACGACGTGATTCCCTTCTGTACACATCATCATAATACGGATCACGATCCCTTTCTCTTCTGCATAAAAGAAATTATTATACAATGTTTATTAGTGCTGTGGAAAAATATTGAACTGAAAATGCGTCCAGTTGGAAAGCAGTGATTGGTGCAGCGGTTGGATTTTCAGGATTTCAACCGTATGGTGGCGGATTTGAAAGCTAGCTGTGCGAGTTGCTTGTCCTTTGGCAAAGATCTATATTTATGTTGTCGCTCACCACCCAGGGATACCAGTGTGTTCCTAGGAAAGTACAACTGGCTAAAATATTGATAACAAAATGAACAGAGCGCTAAATTTACCTTCCTGGTTCATCCCGCCGAAGAGCAACACGGTCTCTATATGATTCATCATAAGCATCTCGCAATGGTGAACGGTCACGTCTTGGAGGAACACGGTCATAATCAGGATAACGTTCAAAGTCACGATCCCTACTGCAAAGGAAGGGAAAATCGCATTTATTTTATCAGTGATAAATCTAGAGTATTGACATAAGGGAGGCAGGGGCAGATCGAGAGATGTCCGAAAGGGGGACGGGCGCGCAAAAGTGGTGCCATCAAGATAACACCACCTTGGGGGTCCGCAAACATTTGTGTTTTCTAGACGGTCGAAAATAACCTCTGAGGAGTCTTGGGCTATCAATTTTTTATTTTTCTTCCTTTAATTTTTTTTTTTTACTTTCTAAAAGGAGGGCAGGGGCCGACCAAGCCTCCCTAAAACCTGCCCCTGGGAGGGCCATGAATAATAAATGGTGATCTACTAGTTATATGGGATTTGCTAGCATTTTGGGTGCCTTGTTACTGAACTGTATCTTTTAAGACACTGTAGTAGAGTGATGGGTGCCCCTTTGGACTTGCCAGTGGTAGGGGATAGGATGTGGTATGAGGTGGGTTTGGTAGGAGTTGGGTTTGGTAGGAGTTGATTTTGGTACTAAATGACTAGTAGTAATCACCAGTTATAATTATGAAAAGAACTTTTTTTAACTTAAAAACCTAATTTAAAGTTGATATGCCTACCTGTATTCACTAGCTCCCCTATCACGTTCCCGACTATATTTTCGGTTTCGATCTCGGTCATCACTTTTGCGATCTGGTTCATACCGTCTATTCTTTTTATCAGCAGCAATATTACAATCTGAATTTTAAAATTTAGTAACATGTAAGTACAAAAATGATTACATTATGAATATTAAATTATTTATAACCGAGAATTAAAATGGAACTAAAGATAATTCCGTGGGGTAAAATATGGAAAATTTGACAAAATTAAATGACAGAAAATAAATATATAATTAATGTACTTGTATATTCAATTAATACTATCTTATCTTTTCTCAAATCCATAAAAACCCCAGACATGTTTTGTTAAAAATCAATTGTGCAAACACAAAATTAGGACATTTATATCAGATTGACAAGATACAAAATTTGATGCAGAACATGTGCTATGTTTTAACTGTTCAGATCATCAAATTTTTTATAGTACTTTACATAAACATGTGACATGACTATATATGGGCATACAACAGTTTTATTTTTTGTCAAATTAAACTTGATAGTCTGGACAGGGCTTTATACAAGAGATGTACAGTATGTTAAGCTCTGTCCACACTATCAAATTTTATGTGACAAATTTGTGTGATGTCACCATGTATGGACTTGATGATGATGTCATTATTACAGCCAAATATGGGCATATCACAATTTTTGGTCACATAAAATTTGATAGTGTGAACAAAGCTCTATTGGTCATTCACACAGCGGCGATATTGCAGGACACGCGCGCTAAATGTTCCCAGGCATGGGATGCATGTAACATTTTGTTCTCATGTGAATCGGGCTTAAAGAGATCAAACAAAGAGGAAAAGGAGAGATAGAGGGATTTGGCGATGTTTGTTTAGAGCCAGTCATGTGACCTATGGTGGGTGTGCCATGGAAAAAATACAGTGCGATCGGTGTGAAAGTATAGGAAAAGGTAATGTTATGGTTTCGAAAACAACCACACACTGTTAACGTGAGCAATAAATGGCAAGGAAAGGCAATATGATGGTTCAAAATAGTGTTTATTTACTTATTCTAGCGTTCTCCTTGCATTGTATGCTTTAAAATATATGTGATCCTTTCGTAAACCTTGGCTAGCCTAGAAATCTTTGGTAGATCGCAGGGCCTAGGCCTAACATTTGTCAAAAAATCTCAAATTCCCTTGGACGACAAGTCAAGCAAAGTTGGTGTGGTGAAATTTGGGACATCAACAATCGACTTTAGAGTAACTTAAATTACGTTGAAAAGAACAAATACAGCAATTATGAATGATGATCTTTACAGCAACATACAGTAGGACAGCTGCCATAGCAATCTCCACTGTGCCAGTCCATTGTTTACATCCAACACCCAAGTTAGGTCATGTGACGCCAATCGCCGAATCTCTCTATTCATATATATTTTATTAACTGAAATTTTTAATATACTGTACTGAGAACCGGGTCCAATTTCCTATACAAATTAATCATTACAATTCACAAACAGATGTTCGCCCTGAGGAAAATGAAAAAGGATACAGTGGGCTATTCAGGCCAATAAACTTATTGATTTCTGTAATTAAGTTATTATATTATAATAAGTACAGTACTCAACTGCGTAAAGGGCCTCACCTAATCGCTTGCCTCTAAACATTGTATCATGCTCTCCCTTAACTGCTAACTCTGCTTCACTGACTGAAGAAAACTGGACAAACGCATAGCCTCGGTGGATGGCGACACCTACAAAAAACATAAAACATCCACATTGTTGATATATATACTGTATGTCACAATAACATGCGATACCCCTTTGTTACTGAGTAATGCAATACCCAAGTGATTGATACCTGCTATAGCAAAGCCTATTTCTATATCACAGTATTCACCTGATGTTGTAAAGTTCCTAATTTTAAAACACTGTACACCTGTATCTTTTTTATTAATACTGTAATAATATTTGGATGAGAAGTGATCTTGTGTGCAATATACTGTATAGCACATGTGCACATTAAATAATGCAGTACACACTCTTCGGGAAAACAGTAAGGGATTGTCTCCCAGTGAACTGCTCAATTCACAACCAGAAGCATTGTACTTGAAACAAGTCTACTATCCTATCCTATTTGATTTATATACAGTACAGAAGTCCTGTGCTTCACATTATTACCCCCAGTTATTAGATCAAACACATGGAACACATAATACATACACACACACACATGCACGCATACATACACATATACACACATACATATAATTCCAAAATACTGCAGCTATAGTTTACACATTTTGTGTTTGAAGTTAACAGCTACCCACTTGTACTCCTGGGTGGAGAGAGATACAGGGGTAACTGTAGGTAAAGTGCCTTGCCTAAGGACACAAGCAAAATACACAATTACTGTAGGAATCGAACCTTCAACCATATGTTTGAGAAGCAGGAAGACAACCGCTGCACCAAACCGGTCATTTATCTTTAGTCGGAAGCGGTTTGGTGCATTAGGAATGTTTTGGTTTCCCAACCTCGAGGTCAGGGTTTCAATCCCTCGCTGTACATTCTGTTTGTGTCATTAAAGCAAGGCACTTTATCTGCATTGTTCTCTTCACCCAGGAGTATAAATGGGTAACTGGTGGGCTGCCTGCTACTGCACTAATGTGGCAGCAACACTTAAGCATGTCGGCCCAATATCCAGGGAAAACAATTAGCAGTTTGTAACCTAAAGGAAATTAAATAACAACATTTTTGAGTTGTACTTGTGATAACCTATTTAAGTTTTGTGTATTTATTAAGTTTTTTTTTTTTATCAGATTACTGTACTATATAATAGGTTTTAATACGTAGTCAGTGATGTAGCCATGAGACATAGGTGGGGACAAAAGGACATGTCCCTCCCAACCCACATTTTGATGTGGGTAAGCAGGGCTTGCCCTAACTTTTTTTTGTAACTAGCCCACTGGGCTAGTTTACTAGAGATTTTACTAGCCCACAGAATATTTTACTAGCCCACAGACAGGAAAAACTTTTGTTTCAAAATATTTATTAGCGACAATTAAATTTAAAGGTTGATTTGCAATTTCATAATTTCTGTAGCATTGCTGTTTGAGCTACCCTCTCAAAATATTGTTGAATAAATAAATAAATAAATCACCCATGGTGCAAAATCGACTCTGGTTATAACAGGGACAGGACAGATGAGCATGTTTACATCTCCCTGGTTATAACTTTGGCTTTCTAATATATAACAAAGGGCCCAGAAATCAATCAAACCAATGCATCTGTTAAATCTTTAGGTCTCTCGCCCCCAAAATAAATCTTGCTTAGGCTAGGCTAGGCTACCTAGGCTAGGTTAGGCTACCTAGGCTAGGTTAGGCTACCTAGGCTTAGACAAGACCTAGGGCCTAGGCTAGCCTAGCCTACCTATAGCATTGAAGTACTTAATTATTAAAAGTTGAACATTTTAAAAATATCATTATGAGAAAATAATATGAATATAAGGTAGTACATTAAATTAAATGTTCTAACTACCTAAATTAACCAGATTGAACGATCAAAAGATCTTAGTATAGAGGAAGATAACATGCCATCCTGTAGTGGTTGGTTGGTGAATGACTTGGGGATCATCTTAATAATTAAACACTCACGCATGTGGAGAGCTGAAAGCTAGCTAGAGTGTACTCTGGGCTGCGGTAGCTCCTGTGCAGGGATTATCTTGAAAGTTCCGTTTTTTTTTTTTGAATGAAAATTTTTTTCTTGCTAATTCTCCACTAGACAACCGGGCAACATGAGGAGTAAATAGGCTAGCCCGGAGCGGTTTTTACTAGACATTGTACGCCGGGCTAGTACTAAATCGAGCCCTGGGTAAGCCCTCAGATGTATAGTCTGCTTGGTAACTGCAGGTTGTTTATCAAAGAAGTGGTGTCGCATGGTACTATGAATGTAGTGAATTCAATTCAGTTCATTTATTCATCATCAAATCAATGTCAATTTACAAATAAACTTTTTAAAAAATGTTAAAAATAAGATAAAAGATGAAAAGGACATTCATGAAACTCTAAGCTTGTAAAATGAAGTCCTGGAGTGGCGGATATTATTAACGATCAGAACATTGTCAAAAATTGGATAAAAAAATGGAAAGGACATTCATGAAACTCTTGAGCTTGTAAAAAGAAGACCTGGAGTGGCCAATATTAGGCCTAAAAAATAAATTGTTGGTTTGCCCTTCTTTTTTTAAAATGATAAAAAAAAGGGGGGGGGAGAGGGGGAGCTGGAAAAAGTTTTTTATTTTTTTTTTTTTAAGATACTCATCAGATAGAATAAAAATTACCCACAGAGCCCTAGAATGCAATATCTTACAACAGAAAACAACTTTAGACTAATCTGTAGGGCATCTGGCAAAAAATTAAGATAAAATTCACTCACATTTTTTTTTTAATTTGTAGAGAAAGTTTTTTACTTCCCGCCCCTATTTTTTCAGTGAGTTAGGGGCGGGTAGAGGAGGGCAAACAAACAATTTTTTTTGGCCTTCTTAATGATCAGAACATTGTTATGACATGTACTGTATATAGGAAACATTTCATTTGAGTCACTCTTGATGTGAGAAGGAAGTGAAATTACTGTATGTCAAAAAATCATACCGGGCGGGAGAGAGGGGTAGGGAAGGGGTAGTGATATTCGTAATATTAATTAATAGTATTTAAAACATCAAGGATTTCATTCTCTGTGAATTTGGCCCAAAGGACCAAAAATCCCAAGTAAATTTGCCAAGGAGGGGAGGCGAAAAATTTCAAGTGGGTGGAGGTCCCCCTGAAATTCATGGGACAGAAATATGTGAGTATACATTATTATTTTCAGTGATTGAAATATAGAGTAAGTCATGCACTATGAGTAGAAGAATGCAATAGGAGTTTTCTAAACATATATAGTAAACTGGACCTTTTAGGAGCGCTGCCCCTTTGCAACCCCAGCAGGGATGCCATTTCAGCACACCAGGCCAATGTTAAAAAGTTGGTAGGACATAAATGGTTATCTACAATACCATTAGCAAAATATATTTAGCCATGGTACAGGTAGAGTATACAGTAAGGATTATTAACAATACCAAATTATATTACGAACGTTAATAACCTATAAAGTTTTTATACTAATCTATAAAGTTTGTACAATGCTTTTCCATTATTGACATACATTCACAATCTAAATATAACTCATGGATTTAAGGTCCGAATAGTGCTCCAAAGGTATCATTACTAGAGGAAGGAAATCATGGTTACAGTATACAAAAAAAAAAGAAATTTGCATATAGCGCCCTCTATGTAAAATTCATGAAATAGAGCACCCCTTGTTGTTTTTTGAAAACAAGGGGTATTTTAATGATGAATTCACATCATTTTTATGAATTTTAGTGTATAATCGGTCTATTACATACAGTACATTATATCTTTTAAAATTTTTATGATGCATGAGATGTACTGTATGCATAAAAAGTGGATGCTCATGCAGGGATGTCACCACGCTGGTCGGCGGTGGACGGGCCTGTCCAGCACTCAACATTTCTGACCAGGATTTACAGGCTCCCAACCACCACTATTATTTCAACAGTTTACAAATTGTAACAAAATAATTAGTTTACCTAAACACAATAGACAAGCTAAATTGTTAGATAAAGACAATAAGAATACAATAAATGTTTCCGTGGTTACGTTAATTGTAACAAAATACTGCACTGCCCCGCTAACTTAACAGCCTAGGCCTAGGCCCAGTTGAGTCATAGCGAACATCGTGGGCTGGCATGACACGGTTGCTCTGTACACATTCAAAGGTTAAAGTTGAAATCGTGACCATTCAAGTGTTTTATTAATGAGATCATGGTCCGGGGCAGGAAGATTATTAAAAATTTACGATTTATGTTTTATTTCTTTACTTTGTTTTCATTTTGTATTTTAAGTTTTTCACTTTTAATTATAATTGATATATAATGTGTGTAAATGGACAAAAAATAAATAAATGAGTGCACATGAATCAGTGACATAACACATTTATTGTGGTAATCGTCAAACATGTGAAATTACGGCAAACAATGCGACTGGGTACAGTCGGATCGACGCTTTGTCGCCGGGATTTTTTCATTATTATTTTTTAATCTAAAACAAAGCATGTCAACTATTGAATTTAATTAGGCCTACAGTAAGTCTCATCTTCATCTGTTTTGTTGCATTCCTCAAATTCTGGCCTAGGCGTACCTGGGCCTGGCCTAGGCCTACCTGGGCCTAGC